GACTGAACCTTCTCAAATCAAGGGCACCCCTCTGAGAAGTCTGCTGCTCTGGGGCCTCCCCGTTTCCTCCTCTCGCAGGGTCTGTCCAGGGCACTCTCACGATCCCATTGGGCTCCTGCTGTGAGGCGGGGTGGCGGGGGCAGCGTTGCACACTGTACGGATGGGAGCAGCAAGGCACATAGCCTGGAGCCCTGACTTCCCTATAGCTCTCTGAAACCTGGAGGGGAAAACTCTATCTTTAAGTGTGAGCAGCGGCTCCACCTCAGGTAGGGACGAGAAGGCAGCCCACGGCTCACATCCTTCATGTTAAGTCCTTCATGTTAATGCTGGGAAGTGAGGCACAGGGAGGGGCAGTGACTTGCCCAAGGCCACACAGCAACTCAGTGGCCAAACTGGCTCCGTCTTACAGAGTGCTTGTCGCACACTGAGGGGAAGCGAGTTCCTCTGTCATCTCTCAGAGCATAAAGCGCAGCCCCACCTTCTCGCCTCCCACCTGGGGACTGAGGCTCACCAGGAGAACCCCTCACAGGTCCTGAATCCTGAGGTGACTGCTGATGCAGGAAGATGAGGCCCCACTCCGTCCGGGTCGGCAGTGCACGTCACTCGGCAAATGGCGCAGGTAACCCAGCAGCCCAGGGCCAGCGCCGAGAGGCTGCCTCTGGGAGGAGGAGGTGGCCGCAACGGCTGATGTTGGACGAAGCCTTGAGGAATGGAGAAGCGACAGGTGGCAGCCCACAGAGCAGGGTTCAGACGTGACAGGAAGCGCCGAGCTGCGCTACAACGTGGCTGGGCCTTGACAGCATTATGCGAAGCGGACGAAGCCGATCACAAAGGCCCACACGTTGTGTGAGTCTCTTTACATGAAATAGCCCGAACAGGTAAGTTCACAGAGACAAAAAGAAGACCAGTAGTTGGCAGGTGTGGGGAGTTAGGCGGGAGAAGGGAGTGACTGCTAACGGAGTGAGGTCTCCTTTGCTGGAGGACAAGAATGCTTTGGAACCAGAGGTGGCGTACTAAGTGCCACTGAACTGTGCACTTTAAAAGGTGGTTATGTTATGAGACTTTCACCTTGGTAGAAGGAGGAGGAGGAGGAGGAAGGAAGGGGAAGAAGAATCAGGGCAGCCGCCACCGCCTGAGGCTCGCGTCTGGAAGGCCAGCCGTGGCTCAGCTTTCTCCTCTTCCAGGGAAGGAGCTGGGACTGCCTGGGCCTTTCTATACCCCAGGGAAGGGGCCAACACCCCACAGCCTGCACAGGCCCTGCTGTGGGGCGGCCGGACCTTGGCCAGGAGGCCCTGAGAACTCGTGCAGCCTCAGGGAGAGGAGAAGCAGGCTCCCTGGTTCCAAGTGGCCAGCTGGGCCTGCTCTCAGCCAAGGGTGGGGCTGCACTGTGGACAAACTGCACAATTCTCTATCTGCATTCCACAGGTTCTGTTTGTTCTTAGTGCTGCGGGGCACACGGAAGTGCAGTGGCCCTGCCTGACCTAGGACATCAGGGCCCAGGAAGCCTCGTGGGCACCCACTCTTGTAACAGATGGAATGGCCTGAAAGACACGGCAAAAATATTTCCTGTCTCTTTAAAACATCCTCCACCCCTTTCTGAGAACTAAAACCTGCATCTCTGCCTCAGGCCAGTGGTGGGGAGGGCAGGGTCAGTCTTTGGTTATTTGAGCTACAGGACAGGGCTCAGCCCAGCCCTGGTAAAGGGAGGTCCCGGGTGGAGGTCAGGGGACTGTGCTCAGTGGAGGTGGGACCATCAGAGTTGCCCAAGCTGAGGACGCACCCTTTAAAACCTCTGTATTTCCGCTTATTATTAAGAAAGTAATAAACTTCTCTTTCCTTCTCCTCAAACCACTTGTTCTCATTCTTTCGATGCGGCCTCGAGGACGAGTGCCAAGCTCTGGGCAGCACCCTCACCTTGGCCCCGCACGGCCTACCGGACCAAGGGGGACCATTTGAACAGCGTGGCCCGTTTGAACAGGTTGGGCTCAAACTGAGCCCAACCCAGCCCCACGGTCCCCTCCTCCAGGCCTACCTCTGTCCTTTGGGCTCTGCATGGAACAAAGGTACCCGTCTTCCCGAAGCAGCCCGCAGGGCTCTGGGATGGGCGGAGGCTGGGGCAGAGGACTGCTCACCCACCGTGCGTAGGCCCTGGCAGGCTTTCTCACCTCTCATAACGTGTTCTGCTCTCCTCCCGCCCAGGGCTGTCTAAGGCTCAGTTGAGAGGAGGGTGGAACCTTGCTTAGGACAAGGTATGGGGGGGGCGTCCAGGGCAGCCAGGACCCTTGGGGGCTGCCCTTCGTAGAACCTGCCTGGGAACTGGGCGCACCCACTAAGTAACAGGAGGCTTAGGGTGACCCCCATCCTCTGCCCACAGCCAGGTCCCTTTACCAAGAAAGAAGGGGCCAGACCTGCAGGGGCCATGCTCACTTCTCCCAGATGAGGGGGTGTGCTTCCTTCTGGGTCTGTGGCCAGCTCCTGGCCCTGATCTTTCCCCCAGATTCCTGGTCCCTTCCCACCCTGCCAGCTCCCGTGCCACACAGGGATGCAGTCAGTGGCCAGGGACCAGATTAGGAGCCCAGAGCCCTGGGCCCAGTTTTGGCCACAGTTGGCTGTGTAACCCCAGGCTGCTCTTCTCACCTGTGCAGCGTTTTTAAAAGAACACTGCTGGTATTGGTGGGCAAATCCCAGTAAGACACACAGGCCTGGCCCACTGCTGAGGGACACGGGGCTCCCCTGGCCCTTCCTTTTAGTCAAGCCAGTCATCGTGAAGGGCACGAACACCCTCACATGTCCCCAAACCCTCCGGGGTAGGGGGCCTCTGTGAGCCCATTCTGGTGACAGGTTCTGACACCCGGTTCTCCAGGGCACTCTGTGAGCCTGGAAACCGCGCTCGCTCGCCGGGCTGCGCGGTCTCCGCATCCCCGCGCACCGGCCCTCTGTCTACCGGGACGGGTGCCCTGCGTGGAGGCCAGGCTGCCTGCCGCTCCCCTGTCCAGCTGCACGCCTCACCCTCTGTGAGAAGGTCAAGGTGAGGGAACCAGCCCTTCTCCCCCAGGGCCCTGCAGGCCCAGCTCTCCCCGCTGAGCCGTGGGGAGCCCGGCCCCCTCCTGCTGCAGGGGCGCGCGAGGAGGGGCGCCGAGGCCGTGGTTCCTGAGCTCAGGGCCTTGTCTGTTTCAGGTGGTTCATCTCCGGCAGTGACAGGAAGGGAATGCCAAATTAACGCTGGGTAATAAATTCTGCAAAAGCCAATAAAACCAAAGCAGAGGGATGGAAGGGGAGCCGCAGCAACTGAGTAAACACTCTTGTCAGCGGTCACAGACACATGGCACGTTTTCCAAGGTTTGCATCAAGGAGACATCTGGCCACGGCCCACGCGTTTGTGGAAGGGAATCCCGGCGAGCAGAGACGAGGGGCCAGGGAGGGCAGGACTCTCTCGGGGGCAGCAAGCTGGGGACTCTGCTTCGAGGGGCTGAGGCACGTCCAGGGCAACGGCCTCCATGAGCTGGTTGGGACTCTCCCCGGGAGGGCAGTGCTGGGATCTGCCCCTACGGGCTGAGCCTCAGCCCCGGCCTCACCAGCCAACCCCACAGGCTGCAGTAGCTGAGGCCTGGGGAAGAGAACGTTCTGTGCTTGGCATGCCTGCTGCCCAGCCTTCCACACCCACGCCCAGACCCGGGACTGACTCAAGACCCAGGCCCAGCCCTCCTTGCTTTTCAGGGAGAGAGACAGCAGAGTCATTAGGCAACAGCCAGCCCACAGGGGGACCCTGGGACTCCTGCTCCGTGGGTTCCCTGACCACACCACAAAATACTCTCCACGCCTGTGCTCTGCCCGCACCGTTCCCCACTGCAGCCCCGCCGTGCCCTTGGTGCCAAGCCCTGCGTAGGTGTGAGCTCTGCGCGTGTGTCCCCGCGGGCCCTGCGCCCCGCTCACTGCTGCCTCTCCCCGCGTGTCTGCTGGACCCTGCTAAAAGGCCCCCCGGGCTCTGCGTGGGCTAATGTGTGCCTGTGGTCGGGGATGGGCCCACGGCTGGAGCGAGACAGCGGCCGGCTGACGTGGGCCAGTCCTCGGCCCTGTCAGGAGAAACTGGTTTTCCAGATGAAACTCTCCTGTCCTTCGGTGACGCCCCACTGCCCACGGGACAGGAACAAGCCTGCCTGCAGCAGCCCCAAATGCAGGCCAAAGTATCATCGTGACAGCCTGGGAACTGCGCAAAAGCAGTGTCGCCCCATGTGAGGACAGGAATGCGCTGGGATCCTGGTTTCCTAGACACTTCAGTGCCTACACCGGGCTGTTCGGCTCCTGCACCGAGCCCAGTGCCCGGGGCCGCGGTTGGCTCTGTCTTCCCTCACGCGTGGAGACAATGACTTGGTCTTTACCAACCACCCCCAGGAAAGCTGACAGGCACCTGTTCTCCCCGACCCCCCGCTTCAAAAACATACTCTTTGCTCACACGGAGGGGGTACATCTCTTGGCCCAGTCAGGCCCCATGCCCCCTGCAGGACGGCTCAAGTTCAAGGCCAGCCCTATGACTCTGCCCTCTGCATGCCTCGGCCCCCAAGGTCAGGCCAACTGTGGGCCCAGGGCCACAGCCACGGCGTCCACACTGCTCCCCACCTCCGTGCTCCCTGGCCTCAGCCTCGCCTCCTGCCTGCTGCTCTGCGGCCTCACCAACAGCTTGCTGTCCCTCAGCTATGTCACGCTCGGTCTCACCTGCACAGATGTCGCCACCCACCCCTGACCTGGAGAACACCTGCTCATCCTCTGGGATTCCACTCAGGGGCCACCTGCTCCGGCCAAGCCTCGCTGGCTGGGTGGGCAGCTCCTCCCTGCGCCATCTCCTCCCGCGGGCCTCAGCCCTCTGTATCGCGCCTCCCCCCTGCAGCCTCAGGGCTAGCAGAGGGCCCGACACCGGGAAATATTTAGAGAAGTAAACCTTGGTTTCCCGGGGACGGGAATCACCTTGCAGAAGAGGTTATCAGGCCCGAGTCTTTACCTACCTCTGAGAAGAACACAGAGAGAATGACCAGACTGATCCAGTGAATGACGCCAGCAAACTGGAATGCACTGGAAACTGCAACGAACACAACGGGGGCCGATTTTAGGAGCAAGGAATTATGTGCGTCCGTAGAGGGGGCTTCACAGCATCGAGGCAGACCTCTGGGACCCTGGGGCTGCTTGACGAGGAGCATTTAGGTCTGGTAGAAATCAGGTCAGAGAACAAGGGTGGCTCAAACTGGTGTCTGCAGGGGCGGTGGCGGGAGGCGGGGGCGGCCAGCAGTGCTGTTCTTTCCTCCAGCCCAACGGGGCTGCCTCCTTCCCCACAGGCTGCCTCTCTGAGTTCCTGCTTGGTCTTTGGCGGGCTTTTGGCTGTAGCCAGACTCCAGGAAAGGAGCCCTCCCGAGGGGGCTTATGAGGACGTCCGCGGCTTTTGGGCCTGGGTAGGCGCTTCAGGCACAGCAGGACGGTCTTTCAGAAATCCACCTGCAGTCCACCCCTAAAGCACCGTGCACAGTTGGTGGAACTCAAGGCCAGCTCACTTCGCTTTTCATTCTGAAAACTCAGGGCGGCAGAGGTGGTGGCGTCGGCCAGGGTGTTCCCGAGAGAGAAGGCTGGAGCAGGACTGGGAGAGGGAGCTGGACGTGGGGTGGGGGTGGCAGCCTCTTCCCGAAAGCAGCAGAGCCAGCGGGCTGGGGTCTTCCACATTGCTCCGGTCGCCTTCTAGGTTGCAGAGTGTGAGTGGGGAGAGCCGCCAGCCACTGAACATCCCCGCCCCACCTTCCTGCAGTCACTGCTTGGGGGGACGGCTTTGTCCCTGGAAGGCCCTTTGGAAACACAGAAAGCCTTGCCCAGCCTCCGAACCCTAGCATGGCCTAGTTTATCAGCCAGCATGGCCAGGAGCAGGGTGCTGGGGCCACGACCAGGGTCAGGGGAGCTTTGATGGAGAGTGGGGGGAGGGATGCCCCAGAGGGCAGGCCTAAAAGAAATCCTGGGACAGTGAGGCAGGGCTGAGGAGGGGCAGGGGCAGGAATGCTGCGGAGAGGGCGCGCTTGTTTGGCTGCTGCCCGGCCTGCTTGGCGCCCTGCTCAGAATCCCCTAGGCCAGCAGGAAAGGCCCAGTGCCTGCCATGGGGAGGGCCGGCCTGAGAGACAGCAGCCCACCGCCTCTCCCGACACTCTGGCACCTGGCGAGGCGGGTGGAAACCAGGTCCAAGAGCACGTCCAAGGGGAAGAAAGCTGCAAAACCAGGTTCCAGGTGGGAGACTCTGGGGTCCCCTGGCTTTGGGCCAATGTGACCCACGGAAGATGAGCCCCAAGACGGGCAACCGCACACCAGTGGGGACCAAGAGGCTGAGGTCCATGTGACTCTGAAGAGACCTCCAGATGATTCTGAAAACATAAAATCTCTCCCCATTATCTCTCAAATGAATTCCTGTGCCTTTTTTTACGGTTTGCTTTAGAAGAGCAATAAATCTCTGATTGTGCGTTTTATGGAATTTAAGATGCCTTTTATGAGCTGCTATTGGATCTCCCACCAAAATCAATCTCCTGGATACTTAATTTTAAGCAAAATCCCAGTGTCAGCCAGGTTCTCAGTTCTATTCGATGCCTTGTCACAACCTGAGCAGCCAAGGGCCCCGAGGACGAGCCACCACCGGGAAAGAAAGACTCCGTTATGGTCAGACCTCATAAAAAGCAGACAGTATGGATGAGTGTGAGGGGGGAAAGTATACAACACGGTTTAATTGAAGACAGGTTGAGTGTAAAACCAGTACCGATCACTTTGTGCTGGAAGATACTTTAATTGGAACCAAGGGGCCACCAGCTGCATAAAACCCAACTAGGCTTATCAGACAAAAGCGATTCTGTGCTCTCGGTCATCGTCTTTCAGGCAGCAGGAAGGCTCACTTTGGGGGAGCTTTGGCAGAGCCTGTGTATAGAGGGTCCAGGAAAGGATGGGGGCATTTGAGAAAACAAGCCCGCGTGACTAAATGGGCTGGGGGGCTGGATGTAGTCCCGGATTTTGCCAGTGGCAGGAAAGGAAATCTCTCTGAGGCTGACAGTCTCGCCTCTTTTTCAGTCGTACTTGAATGGTCCACCTCCTAAGATGGGGCGACGTGGAGAACCAGGAGCTCTCCCAGAAGCCACGTTCATCCGAGCCAAGAGTCTGAAGGCCTGGCCCCTGCCCCGCTGGTGCACCAGACACGGCCTACAAGGGAGGGCGGCAGGAAGCGGGTCTCCACCCTGACAGCCACGTTGCTACGGGACACCCAGGTCAGAAGAGGGATGAGCCACATGCATCTGGCTCAGTGGGGAATTAGGGACAAACACCAAGAGGACCGAGGTGGGCAGAGAACTGGCCGCGCAGTTAACTGGCCTGGTGGCCAGAAGTGCCAGCCCCGACACTTCTCATTGAGGGCAAGTCTCTAACTTCCCCAAATCTTAATTTGCCCAGTCGGTAACATGGTCAGACCAGCCGTGCCCACCCCGCAGCGCTGCTGTTTAGGGTCCGACGCATGAGAAAGAGCTTTCAAAACAACCGCAGTGTATATAATAAATAACACTGCCGACTTATGGCTGGGCAAAAACACAAGGACTGTTATCGCCATCACAGCTGCTGTCATTAGTAGCTACTACAGGGTGATATGCCTCCATAAACGGGAACTCTCTTTAACCTACAGAAAATTCCAACTGGAAAATTCCAAATGGGAACAATAAGGAAAAAAATGCATACAGGGGTCCCCAACATTTTTTATTTCATCAGTTTCTGATCATGGAATGCTGGGGAGGGGACTGCAGAGGCCACATTGGTGGAAAGGGGCAAAGTCATGCTGGGCAGACGGAGAGGGACCTGCCAGGGGTATGTCCTCCCCAGCGGGAGTCCCCATGAGCCATGGGGCCAGCGTGTGGCAGCGGCGTCAGCTGGGGGCAGATCACAGTCTGCTGGTTGGGGACCCCTGATGGCTGCAGATGCACATTGAATATCGACACCATACGTATTTGCATATGTATCTCTCTTGCTACTCACACTGGAGGAGCTTTATATCTATTAGAAGTTCCAGAGTCAGGAGAATCACCACCAATATTACACAGGCTACCAGGAAACTGTTGAGACTTGCACTGAGCAAAAATACCTGCCACACGGCTGCTCTCTTCCCGCAGCACGGCTTCAGCCAGTTAGACCTGCGGGGACAAAAGTGGGGAGAAAGGAGGCTGAGAGCGGGGTGGGACAAGGAGGAGATCCCAGCCACACCCTGCTCCCAAACCGACCCGCCTCACTCCTGGGCTCCACTTGGCTCTAGGCTTCTCTCATCCAAGAAGCCACTGGGTAGAACTGCAAGGAGCGGACGTCTCATTACGAGACGGAGCTGGATTCACATGCTGATCTTGGCAACTCACAGCCTCTCCTTGTGCTTCAGTCTCCTGGTCTTTGAAATGGGCATGAAACCACATCTCGTAGATTAGCAGAGAGTCTGTCTATGCAGCAAGTGCTACGTGAAAATGAGCTGCTGTCACTGTATTGCTGTGGGGTTCAGAACCTAGCACAGGCTCTGGCATTTGGGAGAGACTCAATGTGCCTTTAATAAATGCTCAATGAATTAGCAAATGGATTTTCCATTTTCAGCTGTAAGAAGGAAAGATTTGAACAAAATCCTGTTTTTCAAAGTGGGTTGTGTGGAACACTAGTTCTATAGAATGTTAATGGTTGTTACTTAATATCAAAGTTTCCATCGTTGGGTAAGTTTCAGAAAATTTGGATCAAAGTCAAATGGACATTTTTCTCTGCAGGACATTTCGGTGCCTTTGATATGCTACTACGCCTCATCACGCTCCAAAGGGGATTATGGTATCAGTGTCTCCCAAACTTGTTGGACCTTGGCACCCTTTTGTCACAGAGCAAGAATTTGGTGAGACTAGTGTGCCATGGACCGTCTTTTGGGAAACCCTTGACTATATGATCTGGAACGTTCACAGGTGGAAATGAAGCCACTGAGGACAGAATCCTTCCCGAGTAGGTTTGGAAGTGGGGAGGGCCCCCGGATCTCAGCGCTGGGTGGACCCCTCCGGGTATTGCATTCACTCCCCTTGGGAGCACAGAGGGTGCCTCTGAGGCGGATGGGAGTACAGGGCTGGGGCGCTGAGGTCCAGCCTCAACTGCTGTGGCAGGTCCGTGACAAGTGGACCTGCCTGCCCTCCCTTGCTGAGGAAGAGCCAGGCGTCCTGAGGTGCCTGAGACGGCACTAGCCAGGGAGTCCTTACTTCTGGCTCTGCCCTCAGCCACCCTGGAACCATGTACAAAGGCCCTCACCACTCTGGGCCTCCACCTCCCCATCTGCAAAATGGGGATAATACTCTGTAACTCATGGGGTTATTGAAGGAGAAGTGGGAGAACGGATCTGGCCTGTGAGGTGCAATGCAGCTGAGATGGATGGATGATGCTGGTGGTAAAGAGTGTGACGGCCCCAACACTTGGCTGTCACCCCGTCCTTCTCCTCCAGAGGGAGTCACTCTGCTGGAGCTCGATGTAGGGAGGGCCAGAGCCCACTTCCTGGAGGTCCCCAGGGTGAAACTGGGCTGGATTAACATGAACGTGAAAGCTTCCAGGCAGAGCCTTCTTCCTCACAATCCACCCAGGGAACGCTTGAAGGACGCCCTGGCCCCTGCTCAGAGGCCCACGGGAGTGGCCACCTGCGTAGTGCTTCTGTGCGTGAAAGACCCTTTGCATTTTCAGACCTCACCCCGTGGCCGCCCTCACCTTCTGATCCACCCTGCCCGGCTCCCCTCCACCCCTATTCCTCCCCCGCCCCAAGGTGACCTTCTTGCCTCCCCTTCGGCTCCAGTCTATTTTCATTCTTCGCACCCCATTCCTTAGCGCCCAGCCTCTGAGCCGCCTCAGCTCTTCTGGAAGTTTTGTCCCCGCCTTCCCCAGGCCGCAGCACTGACTTCCCCAGGGCCCGAAGAGACCTGTTCCGATTCCACATCCTCCCTAAAACCCAGTCCAATGTCTGTGGCCCCTAAAACTGATGTCACGTCATTGTCATTTGAAATCTGAGTCTCGCACCTTCTGGCAGTGATAAAGGGCCGCCACGAGGCCTGTGCCTGGGTGGCGGGGAGCTGCGCCTTCTCGTTCCACGGGGGGCCGGGCGTTTGTTCACCTCTGTGACTTGCACAGCCCAAGCGCATGGGGTGCCCCCAAGAGACTGCTTCTGCCCGGAGGAGAGTCCCCGGGGAGGCCCCGGAACAGGGCGCTACACTTGGACAGCGTCTCTGTGCGTTCAGTTCCCTGTGAACCGAGACTCGAATCTTGACCTGCCTCCAAAGGAGAAAAATGCTACTTTCTGTCGCTGTTTAAAAGGTTAAAATGTTGGTTTTTCTTTCCCTTTTTTGTTAGAGAAGCTGACTACCCAGACCGGGGTGGTGACCGGGGAGCCGCAGTGCAAAGTGCGAGGAGGGCCTTTCCGACGACCTGGCGCAGGGAAAGAGGCGCGGGCAGCGGTCTGGAGTCAGCTGCGCCAGAAGCCAGTTCCCACCCGCCTGGCCCTGAGCCCAGAGCAGCTCCTCGGCCCAGGGAAGGGCCAAGTGGAGGACAGGCGGGCGGCAGGATTCAGAAACCAGGCAGAGGAAGGGCTGGGCCACCCAGCGCTAGGCAGCACCGTGATCCAAAGAGGTGAAAATCCCTGCTTTGGGTCAGTTCGCGCTCTCGTGGGAGACAAAGAGTAAAACGATAGCTATAACAAGTTATGGTACGAAACAAGGTGATAAGTACCACGGAGGGAAAAACAGAGATGGTGGCAGGATTGCATGGTGAAGGGTGAGCTGACATTTTCAGTAAGGTGGTCAGGGGGCCTCACTGGGAAAGTCACCTTTGAGAAGGTTGAGGGGAGGGAGGCAGGCAGGGCTGAAGAGTGCACCGAATAGGAACTGTTTATGGTAAAAGTCTCTTCAGACCCTAAAGTACATCCGGCACAAGAAATATCAGAATAACGGGAGCCAGGCAGAGGACAGGGCTTTCCCCTTCCCGCGGGTCTAGCTTCCCAACCTCTCACCACCTAGAGCAGGTGCTGCCACTACTGCCACAGCCCTTGGCGCAGCCAACGCCGCACCCAAGGAGCCCGGGCAGCTACACAACTGAGCCATGTGCCTCACTGCTCTGGGGCTGCTCTTCCACTCCTGTGCCAGCTCAGCTGTCCCCATCCACACCCTGCTTTCAGCTACCAGCCCCTGCACCACGCCAGTCTGGGAGTGAGTTTGTGCAGCCGCTTGCTGCACAGCTTCAAGGGGGGCCATTTGTATCATGCTCTGTGTGACTCCCCCATGACTCCAGGGCAATGCACATGGGGTGGACTAAAGCGGAAGGAGAGAAGACCACCGGTCAAGGAAGCTGTGGGAGCCAGGGGACACGCAGCTGGTGAGGACTGGCTGCGTGGGGCAGGGAGGCGGGGGCAGGCGTGGCAGTGGGCTCTGCACCCAGGCCGAGAGAGCGCTAGTGCCCAGGCCACAAGCCAGTCCAGCTGAGCCACAGCCTCCGGGCAGAACCGCGGCCTCGGGGTTTTTAAATCTTTTCTGATGACTCCAATGTACAATCAAGACTGAGAACCACTTTCCTAGGCCCTTGATGCTCTGTGGACTTTGTGGACCAGCAGTGCCAGCGTCACCTGGGAGCTTGTTAGAAGTACAGACTCTAGGCCCTTCCTCAGCCCCACTGAACGGGAGTTTGCGTGCCACGGAGACCCCAGGTGATCTGGGTGAGAGCCGCTGCTTTAGGCAGCCTAGCAGAGGTCACAGGCGTCTCAGAAGGTGAAGGGGGCATGGCAAAGGGAGTCTGGGAGCTGCAGAGGCGAGACAGCCCCGGGGCACCGAGGGGGCCGTGAAGCAGGATGTGCGCCTGTGTGGCCGGGTGGGGAGTGTCCACGTAGTCCCTGGGCTTTGGGCTCCTCTGTAAAGAGCAGAGACGGGGCAGGACTGCACCTCTGCTGTCAGGCCGTGGACCCAGGGCTCCAGAACAGAGCCCTCGAGGGTGGGGGCCGGGAGGCTGGGCTGCAGCCGCCAGCTTCCTGCGGACCTTGGGTCTGCAAGTCCGGAGCTGCTAATAAGATTTCCCGGCATTCAAATGACTCAGGCATTCCTAGGAGACTGTGTTCGAGCAGCGAAATAGAATGTGTCCCGCTGATTCAAGGGGCCCAGTGGGCCAGAGGGACATGAGCACCCACTCCTGCGTTAGAGAAGGTGCTCCCGCCCTCCTCCCTGGCTCCCCGCCGCCCGGGCCGGGGCTGGTTCGCAGGGCGCTGTTGTCCCCGGAATCGCCACCGGAGGGCAGGCGTCTCCCGGTTCCCGTCTTGGCTCGGCCGCACCGAGGGGCAGCTCCGGGGGCCGCCTGGGCTGCCAGCGTCTGCAAATAGCAGCAAGCAGATGGATTTCCTGGCACGCGCGTGAGATTCGGCCGCGAGGCCGCCGCTCCCGAGGCCGCAGAGAGATCCTGGGTGGGAGGGGCGGCTGCGTCCCTTTGCCGTTTCCCTTTGCATCCTAGGAGTTCGGATAAGAGTCCGAGAGAATGAATTCTAGAGTACGAAAACGAGCTTTGGCGAATTCCCGCGGGATCCTCTATGTAGGGTAGGGCCATGGGGGAGGCCTGGCAGGAGGCGGCTCCGGCCACTGCTCCCTCGGCCGCGTTCCCGAGCCTGGCGCTGCGGCAGCCCGGGCCCGGATGGCGAGGGCCGTGCCTGCTCCCGGGCCGGCGTGGACACCCCGAGGGGGCAGGCAGAGGCTGCACTGGTCCTCCCGGGCGCGAGCAGGGGAGCGGCCAGGGTGTGGGACCGTGGGGGCCTCACGTTGTCCCGAGAGGCGCCCACGGCGGCGGAGCACCGTGGCACCCCCAGAGGAGTCAGGAGACCACAGAAAGCCTGTTTCCCGGGAGGCAGCGGACCAGGTGACCCGGCAGACCCACATTGAGATTTTCGGCCAAGCCCCCAAGGCAAGGAACTGCGGGAGGGCATCAGCATGAGCCTGCAAGGCCCGGGCCACTGGGCTTCCCCGCCTGCTCTCACTCTGGCCTCGGGAGGCACTGCCAGACGAGTGGCTCGGAGCCTTTCTGGGCTGCAGAGCTCTCCAACAACGGATAAAACTACAGTCCTACCTCTGCGAAACGCACAGAACCACAACACTGTGTATAAAGTTTCAAGGCG